AGTAACAATGTGTCACATTTTTTACAGTGTAGATGCTTTGATAAGATGGGCATGATAAGAATCACCAGAGCTGATGATGGTCGTGTGAAGCTGTCGTGTATTTTGCTTCCCAGGAATGAACCCAACTCATGCAGCAGAGGGGGAACAGGGGAATGGCAGGCCATAGAGGAAATAACCCTTGCGTGGGCAAGGAGTGACCCAGCATCTGTTTCTGAGAGAGACTTTACGGGCGGTGTCAGGTATCAGCCGTCTCCAAAGAACCAGAGCAGAACAGGATGTGCAAGAGAGGACCTATTTTTAAACACACCACAAAACCTGCTGGCGACCCGAGGCCATATACAGGGAAAAGAGACAATTATGTCCCTTGCCGTTTCAACGACTGTGAATTAACAAACCCTGGTGTCTGGAAAGTTGAAACGTTCAAAATGACAACCGCCCCCCGCATATGAATAATCTTAACATCGTTGGTACTAAATGGCAATTAATGATAGGATGTATTATTACATGATAATACAGCGTAGGGTCAGGAGGTTTTGAATGACTAGTTTGCATGTTTTATTAACACCCACTTATCCATACATAATTGTCATAAAGGTCTGGGTTAAGCATATAAACTTGATAATGAATTATGGAAGTTCCTATTAAACCTAAGGATCATTTAGAACAATATATAATCCTAATCATGCAATTCTCCATGATGAAAGTAATGTGTTCAAGGGCTATAACCAGAGCCACGCCCGATCGCCTTTTGTCTCCCCAGTGGTGATCTTTATATGCTGCACCAGGTATTCGCTTTAAGGCGGGTGGCCTTTTGGGGGAAAACCAGGACCAGTTCAGATAACCGCCACTGTGGGGGACATAATACCCAGAGGAGAGGCCGTTTTCACACTTAACACATGTGCTCGACACACACACACGCATCTATGAGTTGAGAGACATCACAAAGGGCAATTAAGTGAGTCTGTGTTCACACAAGTGTTGGGATGACCTCTGAAGAAAGGAAATATGGCGCTTATGACATCAGGCCCCAGGATATGTCGAGAGCCAGGACGAAAGTGTAAACTAAGGCCAAGCCGATGAATGCTCGAGGGGCGTGACAGTGGGAGAGCTCTGGGCTCTAACATGACTTAGAGAATAACTGAAAAAAAGTAGAAATTCCTAAAACAATAGACACAAATCATATTCATCAGTCTTGCAGAGGCAATCTCTGGGATTGGGCCTCGTAATTTGCTAAAGCAGACTCTTAAGTGTCCCTGAAAGTGTTATTTTATATTTTTCTTTACATTTTGATTCCCTTGCAGAGTCAAGGACCTCGCAAAGTAGTGTTGCGATAAGTTGCGTGGTCAAGGAAAATTGTTGATAAGCGCCCCTCGTGGCAAGGTGGCTTTATATAGCTCTCCCTCATGCTATTGTGCAAATGAATTCTCGATATAATACTGTGCAAAGCGGAGAGGTGTGAGGGAATTGTTGGCATAGAGCAACTTCCCCAAGTGGAGACTTGAGGTAAACACCAGTATCGAGTGTGCACAGAAATATTGCCCAGGCTACAGGCTGTGAAGTTCTGATAGTGGTCGACCTGACTGATATTGTACGAGGTGTGGAAAGGTCGGGAGTCTGTCTGAATTGCCATGTGCAGTCTTCGCCAAACCAGTGGCCGCCTACACGTCCCTGATCGCCGAGAGTGGGCCTCAACGGGTGCTCGCACACCAAGCTCCTCTCAAAGCTGCTGGTGACCGACTCACGGCGTGCCAGGTCAAGTGTTGTGGCGTGCAACCATTCTGCTGACGCGCTACAAGCGCTGGGTCAGCATGGCCGCAGCTGTGGACCAAGCCTGACAGGCGGACAGCCCCTGAGTGGACAGCGAGCAGCGTGGTCACAGCACGCTCCAGCAGTGGTCCAAGCCTACCGATCAACACTCCCTTGTGGGACTGGAGGTATTTTCGGGTACAGAGAAGACAGAAGATGAACGCCGACTCTTACATCATGTGACCACCCTGCTTACAGTCGGTGACGCCACCTCATACACGTGTAGTGTAATAGCGCCAGCTGGTGGACAGCAGCGGCAACCGTGGTGGACAGACAGTACACACATCGATGAGCATGTGCACGGGTGTGTGTTGGCAGGGCGGAGGAACTGGGGCAAGGGTCACGGAGGACCCCATTGGAAGCCCCTGGAACCTGCTAGTGGGTTCGGGAAGGGAGGCACGGCCAGGGCGGAGTTAGGCCGCGCTGGTAGGATAAAAGGAGCCGAGAGTGGGAGCTCGAGGCTGCCTGTTTTGGGATTGGATTCGTCTCGTCGTCGCTGCCGTCTTCGCTCGATATTGCGCTGTCAGATAGTTGTTGGCTGTCTCAGCGCCGTCAGTGTTAGACGGCTAGCGTCGTGTATAGGCTAGGCCAAGCGACTGTTGAGAGTGTGCAGGCGAGACCGTGAATGTTCTAAATTAAAGGTGCCTCCTGCAAACCTCGTCTCCGTATCACTAACAATACACACGGATCACACATGAACCAACTCACACCACACTTTAACACATAGGCTTTCGCGACCAATATTATTCATAATATAGGTTTTTGGGTCAGATCGCGTTATTTATAAATGTGTCGTAACCCTCCACCACCCGACACGGCCACACAGTAAAAAATGTGTCACGCTTTTCAAAGGACAAAATAATTAACTTTTTTAGCCCACCGGTGTGCTGTAGAGAGAATCAACAGCATTTTAAAATTTGAGTACGACGTTTCGCTGATAATTACAGTCAGCTTCATCGGGCAAGAATCGTGAAGCTCTCCTGTTGCTTCCAGTCTTAAATAGAGCAGCATCAGGGTGACGTCATTATTTAATTCAATTCAATCTGGTGCAGTGATTCGAGGCAAAGAGGGGGAGGGTATTGTAATTATATAGACCCTAATGATATTCTGGTGAGTTTTGATGTGATTTCTCTATTCACAAAGGTTCCAGTGAACGAGTCGCTTAAATTACTTGATACACTGGTAAAGAATACAGGTTTACCAAAAGATATTCCGAAACTAGCTGATCATTGTTTAAATAACACTTCTTATGGAGAGGCGATTTCTTTAAACAAAGGGAAGGAGCCACAATGGGCTCTCCTTTATCTCCTGCTATAGCCAATCTGTAAATGGAGAACTTTGAAACAAGAGCACTTGCCTCGAGTACATTAAAACCATCCTTTTGGTTTAGATATGTTGATGACACTTTGGTTGTCTGGCAACATGGTAAAGATGCACTTAATGATTTCTAAATCATCTCAATGCACAAAACCCGGCTATCCAGTTCACCATGGAAATGGAGGTAAATAACATACTCCCGTTCCTAGATATTTTGCTGGGACGTGGTCTTAATGGCAAAATGACACACAGCATTTACCGAAAGAAAACGTACACTGATGCCTATCTGAATGCAGATTCACATCATCACCCAGCTCAAAAATCGTCTCTTATCAAAACACTCATACATTGGGCTAAAACAGTGTCAGATGGTGAGAGTCTAGTGAAAGAGATTAAACATGTTAAAGAAGCACTAAGACAGAATGGCTACAATAATGCTCAAATTAACAGAGCACTGAAGGCCAAATCACGAACGCAAAGCAACACTGCTGAAAGCGATAAGATTGTTCAAACAATCAAAATACCATACATCTCAGGAGCAAATGACAAATTAGCCCGGGTTTTGCAAAAGCAAAACATTAAAGTAAGTTTTGGTACAGTGCACAACATTCAAAAACTGGTATTTGGCACTAAAGACGAATTACCTAAATTATCAACAGAATATGTATGTCGGATTAATTGTTTATGTGGCAGATGCTATATTGGACAGATAGGACGTAACATCAGCGTAAGATTAAAAGAACACCAAAGAAACATTAAATTATCTCAAACACAACTGTCGGCAGTGGCAGAGCATGCTTGTCAACAAGGACACTCAATTGATTTTGATAACGTTGAAGTGTTGTGTAAAACTAATTATTACTGGTGTAATGCGGGCGCGAGCGACCTCCCGGATGTGACGTCACGGAGAGGTGGAGTTATGTGACGTGGGAGCAAGGTCCGGGTCCTTAAGGGATGAAACCGGAAGGAGACGGGAGAGAGTGAGAGACTGAGCAAGGGTAAGGCCACGCAGGGCGAAGCCAGGGAAGAGTGGCACCGTCGGCCAGCGGTGACCAACTAAGGGAGCAGCCAGCGGAGCTGCGGGAGGAGACAGCAGTGGGGCTGCTGGAGAGAGAGAGCGGTTGAGGAGCTGCAGCGAGGACAGCCGGGGAGGCTGTGTATGGGAGACAGCAGCAAGGCTGCTAGGAGCTACGGGAGCGACAGGGGGACAGCCGTGAGGCTGTCCGAGGCTACGGGAGCGACACGAGGAGAAGCTGCAGCGAGTACAGCCAGGGGGGGCTGTGTGAGGGTAACAGCAGCGAGGCTGCTAAGAGGCTACGGGAACGACGGAGACCAACAGCGGAGCTGTTAGCGGTGACGGGTGTAACAACAGCGTCGGCACCGTGTGGAAGTCTCAAGGAGGACAGCCGTGTGGGAGACAGCAAACGAACCGAATAAAGGACACCAAGCCAGACATCGTGGTCGAGTCTTTTATTACATTGGTGTCGGAAGTGCAACGGCATGTCGAAGCAAGTGAGAAAGAAAATTATTCCGGCGCCAGCATCGGCTTCTTCGTCCGACGACGACGACTTCCCTCCAACCATGGATTCTGCTGGGGTGGTGGAGGAGAGCCCTGCTGAAGCGAGCGCGGGGACTGGAGTTGAAGATGTCGCCGCGGTGGCGGGCCCGCCAACATCATCGGACGCTGATCCACGGTGGCAGCAGATGGCGGAGCAACTGGAGACTCTCAAGGACGTCCTGGCGCAGTTGTGTCATCTCGTCGCGCCAAGGACGGAGACGGAGAGAGCAGGGAGTGCCCCACAGGCCGCCACATTGTCTTCGCTTCCGACGCCATCAGCCACGCGGCAGGAGGCCGCCATTTTGTGCGTTCCGCGGCGGGAAACCGCCATCTTGACCACGCCGCGGTTCGACGCCATTTTGAATTTACCACCGGAGGAGCCATCGGTGGAGGGCGGAGTAAAGAGAAGTCAGAGTCGCCATCTTACCACAGTCAAGGAATTCGCCATCGGCGGCGATTGGAGCGCTTTCGCCTGCAGATTCTTGGCGGTGGTCCATTCGGCGAGGTGGACCGATGCTGAGGCCTTAGAAGTGTTGCCGACTCTTCTGGACGACGAATCAGTTAGATTTTTTCGTTCCATAAAGGCCGAAAAGAAGAAGACATTATATGGAGTTTTTGAAGAAATGGCCGACGCCTACGAGCCACCTGACGATGCGCATCGGCGATTTGCTCAACGACAACGAGCGCCCGAGGAATCGCCCGTTGCATACAGGGGTGCGGTGCTTGATTTGGCCATGGCCGCATATCCAGAGACAACACCTGACCTGCTCGAGCCTCTCATCTTGGGCAAGATGCTCGAGCTGTCTCGGGATCTTGGGATTCCCATGCCTGTGTGTGGGCATGAGAAGCTCACTTCCCGGGCGGCGGCAAAATGTCTCGATGCACAATTCAACCTCCGACGGTGGAAACAAGTCGTGGCGTGGACGGGGGGGCCCGTCGCAGAGGGTGGCGCTCTGGGTTGGGACCCTACGAAGGCGGTCTATGTGCTGGATGGGGGGGGCCCTCAGGAGCTGACGGCCGCCTCCGGTCCATGGTCGGGACGCGGCGGGCCGGGCCCGCGTGCCGCACCACCGGTACGGGGCCGGCGGGATGCAAGGCCTGCGCTTCGACGCAACGACGCCGAATGCTTCCGCTGCGGGCGGAAGGGCCACTACGCAAAGGACTGCTGGGCCCGCATCCCGGGTCCGCCGCAACAGGAGGCCTCATCAACGGACAAGCCGACCAAGGAACCTCCGAAACAGGCAAGTCGGCACACACCAGACACCCGGTAAGGCTTTGCACCTCACCCATCACCTTCGTTGCGCGATTCAAATGTTGTTGTTGAGGTGAGGCCATCGACGGGGCCTTGTCGCTCGGTGACGCAGTGGCGCAAGTTGGCACGGAGGGTTGTCGCGGCCGCTACGGGTTCGTCCACTGTACCGGGGTCTATACAAGGGGTGGACGTGCGCATTTTGGTCGATTCCGGGGCGTCCGCGACTATTATTTCAGATGTCATTTTCCATCTGTTGGGCATCCCACCCGGGGCCGTGCGTCCGGTTTACGGGTCGTGCGTCGCTGCGAACGGGGGTAGCATGGGCATCGTGGGCCAGGTGGATGCTAAAATATCTATTGGGGAGGTGTCGGCCTCGGGCATTGTGTTGATTTCAAGGTCCTCGGCAGTTCCTTGTTTATTGGGCACTGATTTCCTGGCTAAGATGCCTATTTTGATCAAAATTAATGAGAATTGTATTGAACTGCCGGGTGGCCGTCAAATCTCGTTTCTGCCGTCGCCCTGGGGGTGACCTGCTTCAGCCGCACAAGTGCAGGCACTGTCCGTGGCATCTGTTGACATCCCACCTGGCTCACAGATGCTTATTCCCTTGCGGTATCGGAAGCCCCTGCCTGATCGGCTAGGAGCGGTTGGGGTTTTGTTGTCTCCGTCAGCCTCGATTACGGCCGGATTGGCGCTGGTTGGGGCACAGACCATCGTCCGGCCGGATCAATTACCGTTTTTGCAGGTGCTCAATGCGGGTGCGGAAAACGTCTGCGTCCCGGCTGGTACGGTTGTGGCACATGCCACGACGGCATTTACGGCTCAGGATTGTTCGCATAGCCAGGGGGTGGTTGCTGGTGTTTCTGAGCCTGTGGCTTCAGATGATCGCTGGATTGCTAACTTGTGTGACGGAAACTCTTCCCTGTCCGTGGATCAACGTGGTGCACTTCACAAATTGTTATTGACGTATTCGAATGTGTTCAGCTCCAATGATTTGGATTTAGGACGCACCTCGTTGCTTTCCCATCATATTGATACAGGCGACGCTGCCCCTATTCGGTTGAATTCGCACCGAATGAGTCCTGCCGAGCGGGAACACGTTCGGGGGGCAGTGGAAGACATGTTGGCTGCGGACATTATATCGCCATCTAACAGCCCATGGGGCGCGCCTGTGGTTTTGGTTAAGAAAAAGGATGGCACATTGCGATTTTGTGTTGATTTTCGCAAATTGAATAAGATATCGGTGGCAGATGCGTATCCCCTGCCGCGTATAGACAACTCCCTCGATGCATTATCGGGGGCGAAGTTCTTTTCTACACTGGACCTCTCTTCGGGATTTTGGCAGCTTCCCCTTGACGAGCCCTCACGGGAGAAAACCGCATTCCGTACGCCGCAGGGGTTGTTTCAATTCAACTGCCTTCCGATGGGGCTGAATGCGGCCCCTGCCACATTTCAAAGGCTCATGGAGCTCGTGTTGACGGGGTTGCAGTGGGAGACGTCTCATATATTTGGACGATATTATTGTCTTCAGCCGCACATTTGATGAACATTTAAGGCGGCTGGAGACGGTGTTCACGAGGATGCGCTCCGCGAATTTGAAATTCAAACCAAAGAAATGTCACCTACTGCAACGCTCCGTCCGTTATTTGGGGCACATCGTGAGTGCTGAGGGGGTGTCCACGAACCCGGAAAAAACGGCGTGCGTCCGGGATTGGCCAACTCCGGCCACCGTGGGGGATGTACGTCGGTTTTTGGGATTTGCCTCGTATTATCGAAGATTTGTGCCGAATTTTGCGACGATCGCGAGGCCCTTGCACCTCCTTACGGGTAAGGGACGTAAGGTTGCGTGGGGACCGCCGGAAGAGGCGGCCTTTCAGAGTCTGCGCAATCTGTTGGCTACGGCCCCAACATTGGATTATCCCGATTTCGATCGCCCATTCATTCTTGATACGGACGCGAGTGACACAGGTATTGGCGCGGTATTATCCCAGTCTAAAGGGGGCGTCGAGCGCGTCGTGGCGTATGGTAGCCGGGGTCTGTTGCTGCCGACTCTCCCCTGCCTGCGTCCATTGATCTTGCGAGAGCGCCTGTCGTGCCTGTTCCAGACAGACTGGCCGTGACGCCGCAGATGACGAAGAGCCCTGCTCGGAGGGTGCCTGCCAGGACTGCGGGGACTCCGGGCCCTGCGGCCCTTCCGACCCCGTTGCAGGCACAGTCGCGGGACACGCCCGGGGCTAATTCTTCAGGGACACGGGACGTTGGTGGACCTCCAACATCGACAGGAGGATTACGCCCTGTCACTCCTTAAACTCCATCACGTTCCCGCTCTGCGGGTGGGCCGCCGACCGTCCGGGACGGGCCGGCGACCCGCACACGTTCTAAATCCCTTGTGTTTCGTTGATTGTTATGTTGCATTGTTGTTCTTACTGTTATATTTATTGCCTGCTTATTGTACGTTCGTTGATTGTTATGTTGTGTTGATTGTTCTTACTGTTATATTGCATGCTTGGTGTCCTTTGGTGTGTCAGGGTCGGTTTCGCCCGCATTACTGTTGGTATTGTTCAGCCGAGGTCGGCTGGGTTTTTCTCTACGGGGGAGGGTGGTGTAATGCGGGCGCGAGCGACCTCCCGGATGTGACGTCACGGAGAGGTGGAGTTATGTGACGTGGGAGCAAGGTCCGGGTCCTTAAGGGATGAAACCGGAAGGAGACGGGAGAGAGTGAGAGACTGAGCAAGGGTAAGGCCACGCAGGGCGAAGCCAGGGAAGAGTGGCACCGTCGGCCAGCGGTGACCAACTAAGGGAGCAGCCAGCGGAGCTGCGGGAGGAGACAGCAGTGGGGCTGCTGGAGAGAGAGAGCGGTTGAGGAGCTGCAGCGAGGACAGCCGGGGAGGCTGTGTATGGGAGACAGCAGCAAGGCTGCTAGGAGCTACGGGAGCGACAGGGGGACAGCCGCGAGGCTGTCCGAGGCTACGGGAGCGACACGAGGAGAAGCTGCAGCGAGTACAGCCAGGGGGGGCTGTGTGAGGGTAACAGCAGCGAGGCTGCTAAGAGGCTACGGGAACGACGGAGACCAACAGCGGAGCTGTTAGCGGTGACGGGTGTAACAACAGCGTCGGCACCGTGTGGAAGTCTCAAGGAGGACAGCCGTGTGGGAGACAGCAAACGAACCGAATAAAGGACACCAAGCCAGACATCGTGGTCGAGTCTTTTATTACACTGGCAAAGACTAATTAGAGAATCCATTAAACTTGAGAGAAAAAGAAATAACTTCAATCGCTCTGACAGCTACAAGCTTGTTGGCTATCAACAACAAGGCAACTCCTATGACTAATTGGGAATGGGACGCAAGCGTAGGATTGATCACCCTGTCGCTGGCCGCCTTTGGGGAGGGTGTATAGTGTGAAAGGCCGAAACACCCTAGGAACCAAAGGTACACTACTGACGATGCGCTCCCCAAATTTCACCAGGCTCACTGTTCATGAACTCTTGGAAGTGCTTGCACAAAGGATAGTAACATCTCATCCTGTGTTCTTGGAATCTTAGTGCGGCCTGGAAGCGTATTATTAAATAAATACAATTACAATTCCTTATAAGGGAAACATACCAATGAATAACAATTGAATGATTACCAATCTATATAATTACAATACCCTCCCCCTCTTTGCCTCGAATCACTGCACCAGATTGAATTGAATTAAATGATGACGTCACCCTGATGCTGCTCTATTTAAGACTGGAAGCAACAGGAGAGCTTCACCATTCTTGCCCGATGAAGCTGATTGCAATTATCAGTGAAACGTCGTGCTACTCAAATTTTTAAATGCTGTTGATTCTCTCTACAGCACACCGGTGGGCTAAAGCGGTGAATTATTTTGTCCTTTGAATAACGTAACACATTTTTTTACTGTTTGCCCGTGTCGGGTGGTGGAGGGTTACGACACATTTATAGATAACGCGATCTGACCCAAAAACCTATATTATGAATCACACGCACACTACATATCATTACCCGTGAACCTCGCGCATAATTGCCGCCCTGAAATGTTATAATAATGTAATAACACGTAAAATATAACACCGCACATGAAGAACCACAGAGCTTGCAGGGGCATGGCATATATGTCATTTGAAGGGTAGATTTTAGTGGGTTGAGGGAGCAGCAGGGGCCATGCAGGACCCACTGGTTCAAATATCACTCGCCACTAATGTTAGCCATGGCTGGGAATCTGACCAGGGTTGCTGGGCTCAGAGCCACGATGCGAGATGGAGCGCGACTTGCTGTTCTCATGGGCGCCTGCAATTAGCAACGCCACTCACCTCTCCCCACAATCGCGAATTAAAGTGCCACCACGAGGCCCCCTCCCCCACACGACGAAGCACGCAGGCAAACAGCGCAGCGAGTAAACAAACATCTGCGGGCCGCCGGGCGCCCCCTGCCGCCACGGGATGCAAGGCGACCAGCCTCCACTCACTAAGTGAACATTTTGCTCGTTTTGGGAAAAAAATGGGTCTGAATTCAAATTGCTCGTCATAGAAACATCTCATGGAAATAACGCTCATTCAGTGAGACTCACCTGTACACAACACAAAATAATAATCCGTGTCGTTGGGGAGACTACGTCATGCAATAAAAACAGACATTGCACTTCCATCACATATCTGTCCCTCAACATCAACAATAACTGATCTTTTTTTGTATTTACAGCTAAGGAAGTAGAAGTTAACATCTTGCTTCAGAAGATTCATGGCCAAAAGATTCCAGACCGCAGCGGCTCTCATTACTCCCTCAGTGGGTGAGCTTATCATTGTGTTGTCACATTGCTGTATTCTAATGGTTCTGTGTGTGTGTAAGTGGGGGGCGGCGGTATCGCAGTTAACGCACTATTATAGGAATCCGGCCACCCAAGTTCGATTCTTGTTCAAGGCCAACAACATTGACGATTGTCTGAACCAGTTCTGGGCCTCCCCTAGGTCAACTTAGCCTCAAATGAGTACCTGATGTTATGTTTAAACATTGCCACCAAGGAGACAAGGCGACTGGGCATAGTGCTGGCCACCCACCCCCCGCGTGAGCCGTGCCAGCCTTCATAGGTGCTTGCGAACAGCATATACCCCAAAAGTCTATTCAGGCTATATGGGGGAATCTTTATTTTTGTGTATGTATGTATGTAAGTGGCAAAGGCTTTATGTGTGTGTAGGCCGTGGTGCTGGTGGTGTGTGTACGAGTGTGGGGGTGTATGTGCAGTCGTTATATTGGTATGAGTGAGGGGGTGGTAACCCCTCCACCTGCCACTATTTCTCCAAAATACCACCGTGGAAACAACCAACTAAGCTTGTGCATTTATGACGCTTTTTAACCCTCCTCTGGGGGTCATCCAGAATCAGGAAACTACTGCTCTTGGCATTCGAAGGCTCGCTGCATAGGCTGCCATTCATTTTATGGGGATATTGACCAGTACCACCTAGACATTAAAAAATATTTTCTTTTTAGCTGCTTTTTGTGTTTAGTTTGTTGCCCTTCCCCTGCACCTCCAGTTAGCATGGTTGGCTACGTACGGTGCGAAACAAGTGCAAGAAACATACATGCAGACCTTTGTAGAATACAAGAGGTCTGGTAGACTTGTTGTGGCTCCAATCAATATGAAGGGTGGACATTCCTCCACTCGGGGGCAGGAAACGTTCAAGCAAAAAGAAGGTGCATTGCTTTTAAACAAAAGAATGAAGGAGGTGTGGGAGCGTAGAGGCGAGGTGTGGGAATCTGGAAGTTCGAGGCTACTGTGGACTGACCACCCTTTCAACAAGTAGCGAGGATTGGTGGAGGTAGTAGCTTGCGCCCTCACCGAAGATGAACATTATTGTAGGGTCGCAGACAAGGCCAATGCGTCAGATACCTTCTATAACCTCTTGTACCAGGTGCTGACTAAAGTAGCCCCTTGGAATAGAGTAATTGTGTTGGGTGACTTTCATGCATGAGTGGATCATGATGTAGACACCTGGCCTGGACTGATTGGAAGGCATGGGCCAGATCAGCTCAGTAATAATGGTCAGAGGCTGCTAGACATCTGTGCAGCCCATGGGCTTGTCATCACAAACACGATGTTTCGACATCGGCGCATCCCCACAACATCATGGATGCATGTCGAGTCCAAGCAAGAACATCTGCTGGACTACATAGTGACAGAACAGCGGGTGCGGCCCCATGTCCTTGACACCAGGACCTATAATGGAGCTGATTTTCACACATTACATCAGTTTGCCATTTGTAAGATGCACCTACAATTCTTCCACTGCAGCGGTGTGCTTCTACCTTGGACCCCATTCAAGCCCACAGTGGCTTGGTCTCAGGTAGCTGATGAATGTTTCAGGTACAATGTCATCATTGCTTGCAGCTGGGGTTGGCATCACCCCCCCCCCCCTCCTCCACATGCCGAGGTGAAATACGTGAGGTTCAGGGCTGTGTCTCATGAAGCTACTATGGCAGCATTGGGTACACAGTTCAAACCTTCCCATAAACCCGACGGCTAAAATACATTATGTTGCTATAGGTGGTGCATCAGCTAGTTATCTCAGTTAACCCATGGCACCTGGGTCTATCCTGTGATCTCCTGGTAGTGAGCCCTTGACACTTCACGTGGCCTCAAAGTGCCCCTAGCCCCCCTTTGTGGTGAATGACAGTTGTTGTTGTGGGGAAACAAAGGCAGCCGAGCATATGCTGGCCACCCACCCCTAGTGTGCCGGTGTCAGCCTTCATAGGTGCTTGCAAACAGCTCTTGTCCCATAAGTCTGTTACGGCTATAGGGGATGTTTATCTTCATAAATGTGTAATGAGAGAGCGCCATCGAGTGGGCACCAAGGGGTAATTGCACGAGCACTAACTGGTAACCGGTATCCAATCCTGAGCGGGGATTATATCTGGGCCAAAGGTAATGGGCGGAGTCAGAGAGAACGTTCGGGAACCACCGGGAGGGTTCCACGAGGGGGCGTGGCTAGAAGCGGAACCGAGCTCCGCCGGGAGGAATATAAGCAGAGGCAGGGGAGGACTCGTGCTCGGTGTGGGAAGCCTCGAGTCTGGACCGCGTCGCTGCTTAGCCTCTCTTCACCAGTAACCACGTGGCAGATCCCCAGCGAAGCTCGCCTCTCCTCCCGGGCACGCCACCAGCCAGCGGCAGGATCGGAGAGAGAGGGAGGCGAACCTCGACGGTGGGACGGAGAGAACACCTCGTCCACGGCAGTGACAACAAGGGGAATACCCGGAGAGAGAAGGGGCGGAGCTGTGCAGAAATTCAGTTAATAAAGAGACACCATTCAAGAGTCGTCATGGAAATCGTTTATTACAAATATTTGAGTTTAAATATACCTGTTGGCATGTCACCGCCATCTGTGGGATTACATTTTTGCTATTTTCTGCACTTAATTGATCCTATGCTTTAATTTCCTTAAATCAAAAATATAAGTTCACGGTTGAAGCCCTCCTTTATACGTGAAATGTCTCTTTTTAAGTCGCTTTAATTTTTTGGGTTTGTGTTTTTTGGGCTTCCTGTTTTAAATAACAGTCGATTATTTGGATTTCCTCTTTAGGTGCCACCCCTTCCTCTTGAGGCCCCACCTCATTCTTGTTTAGACCAAGCCCCTCTTTTCTGTATATGTTATTTTTTTATATATACTGGGCATCTGTGAAAATATCTTCATAGCTCATCAGATTTCTTCAGTCTAAATAAATATTATAATTCTGAATCTCTTTATTACCCATTCCTTCATGTTTAGACCTTGCCTCCTTCCTGCTTAGGTCCCATCCCCTTCCTGTTTAGCCCCCGTACCCCAAGTCCCCCAAGTCTGTGAGTAGGCCCCACACATTTCTCTTTAGGCTTTGCTCCTTCCTGAGGACACAGGCTTGGGCTTGTTTTTGAAGGCAGTGTAACAGTATGAGTGGGTAACATCAGAGAGAAACTTGGGGGGGGGGTTTGGAAAATGAGACAGATATCCAAGAAACGGAGACGAAAACCCACAAATCTGAGGCACAGGAACATTTAACGGTCACACAGGCAAGGCAATTCTACTTTTATCCAAAATAATCTCATGGGGTTACTAAATAAGTCTGCATAACAGTAATAGGCTAATATCCACCACCGCTTAGAAATAAGTAATAAATAACCTTGGATAGTTGTAATGAGTGTACCACTTTCTTCTCAAAGAAAGGATGTGAGTAAAGACAACACTTTTGGGGCTGACCCGAAGATAATACCTGAACCATCGGCAGCTGCAATCAGTAGGGCTGAACGTGTTTATTATCCACAGCAAGTAAACAGCAGCAAAAAACATGAAAATCAATTGCACGGCTATGAGACACTCAACATTATGAGAAGTCGTGAGTCTCAATGGCAAAGCTGGAGACTGTTCTGCATGGGTTTCCCCTAAGTTCTCCTGACCCTCCCCCTCCCCCATAACAAAAACCTACACAATGTCAATCTGTTACATTTTGAAGAACAAAAATGAAAAATGACCCACAAATGTCTCACCAATCATCGCCCCTACTGCCAGGCGAATGCCCATCCCCGAGCCACGTGCTGAATCACCGTGTGCCGCACAGGTACATCTGCCACTGGGGGGGAACCTAGTTTTGATACGTATCATTACTTGACATGTAGGGCGCTATATTAACACAATTACTTCATTCTATATTGGATGCGAACCCCTACATGTTAAATTGACCTGCTCTGCCTGTTTTTGTGTGTGTGTGCTTCTTGCAGAATGTACATCACCAACTTCCAGCTGCCCCACACAGCTCTGGGGCTCCTTCCGGGATCTGGCTTCAAGTTCAGCTTCACCGACGCCTATGCATCTGTGTTTGGGCATTGGCACTATGAGATGCTCTTCGTGTATGTGTTCTATTCTGCGCAGATTAATATCAACATTATTCACGTATACTTTATGGGCGGCAGGGTGGTTCCTCACTGTAATTAGGGCGTGGGTTCAATTCCATACTCAAGCTCTTTTTTGTATGAGGTTTATATGCTGTCCTTGTGTTTGTATGGTTTTTTTCTCTGGTTTCCTCCGATAGCTAAATAACACACAATATAGGTATTCGCCAAAACATCTCAATGTTGAAAAAAATACGAGCAAATTTTGGAATTGGGTTAACACACAGCAACATCACCTCCTACTAGAAGATCTGCCAGGACCTGCTGGAAAAGATTGTTGAGACTTAGTGAGGCTCTCCTGAACACACTTAAAATGAAACGAACTCCCAGATGCACTCAACTGTGCCACCAACTCATTTAAATATTTAAGCAACATTCACTCAAGCAACATTTGCCAGTGTTAGAGATGGAATGTATTCTACATGAACTGGAGGTGTGCAATTTAATAACATGTTATGCTGGGTATTATATAAATACACTGTGTAAGTTATAGATTTAAAAGTTTGTATGTTATTACGTCTTTTCTGTGAGCGTCACTTGACAATGTGAAATATTTTAAATGAGTAAAATTAAGCCAGTCAACAAAATGTATCTCTATTTTCTTGAATAAAGCATGACAATTTATATTTGCTTAGTTTTTTAGGCAAATATAAATTGAATTACCAGTCACAAACAACGAATTATTAGATCACGTGCATGACTGTACCAATGACGTCATGACATTTATTTAAGGACCCAGATCAAATAGGGCTTTAACTCGAGATCTGAGGGGATAACCTGACGATGCTGAATGTAATCCCCAGTGAAACGTCGTGGCCATTTAAATGATCTAAGATTACTCTCCAGCGACAACGGTGGTGCTAAAGCAGTGGTCAATTTGGCACGTTTGTTCATGTGACACTTTTATTCAGAATCAGAATATACTGGAGGAATCCGATGAGCTGTAAAGTTATTTTTCACAGATGTCCAGTAGGGGCGGGTAAGAACTTTACAACAACAAACAATACAAAAACATGATAGTATTGCAAATTACTAGAAAGGTAAACAAATCACCTAAACACATACAAACGGAACAAAATCATTCCCATCCTACCAGACAAAGCCCACTGAGGTGTGAACTTATTTTCCAGAAGCGGTCTGGCCACAAATGATAGCTCAAGAAAGTGGTCCATCATTTGGACATTTATAGCAGCAAAATAATATAAATAATTGAAATGCTGTGTCAGGTGGATTATGGTTTATGTTACATTTGTTTACACAACATAACTCAAAAACTAAATTATGAATCAGTATTAGGATTGTAAAAAATTATGTTTAAAGTGTGCACATTTTCAGATTCAAGTGAGATTGTAATTCTTTTTAAATCCTTTATATTAAGTTCACTTGCTTGCTTGCGTGCTTGCTTGCTTGCTTAGGACCGTGCAAATCTTTCAGTCGTTTTTTAACCCACTTCCCGTGATCTAATCGAGCTGACATTTTGCACACAGACTCGTTGTACGTGACAATTAATATTCGTGAAAAAAAATTCCAAAATTTTACACTCTTTAGGGAATTTTTTTTTAATATTTAATTACCAATTGCTTAATGGTGGCAGACAATCATCTGACCCATAGGTGGCAGCCATCTCAAGCCAGAGGACGAGAGGACTCTAGCCGCCACGCATATAAAGGATTTATAGTGAAAAACTTTGTTTTTACGGGTTAATTTTTTCAGTTTGCAATACTGTATTTAATATCTCCATGTAATTCTAAAGATCCATGTTGGTGATGGTTTGTTTTACAAACCGCAGGTGTACCGCAGTAAATCGTGTGTAAGAGTAAGGAGGGTGGCAGATGACGGTGAGGAAGTTCGTGATAGAAATACCGTTCTAGTTGTGGGAACTGTATACATGTGTTTAACAGCGTTGCTGAGCACATACCCAAAGGGCCAACACATCAAGCACCCAACAATGAACAATACTTGTAAATAGATGAGTCAACACGTGTTTTTAATCGAAGGACGGGAGAAGATTGGAGATAATTCCAAAGTTGAGCAGTGCAGGGGAAGAAGCAGAAAGAGAAGTGAGGGGACCGGAAGCATGGCGGTTGAGGGGGTGGTTCAGTGGGTAAGTGAATTAGTGAGTGAATAGGTGACTGAGCGATTGGTTGAGTGTATTGTTGTGACAGTGTGGTAGTTCAACATAGTATGAATGGAATGAAATGGATAACCTGATAGACCGAGTTCTCGACATGGGTGGATGAATCACATGATATAATGTCATGACACCGGTAACAATGATAGGAAAAATAGCAGTGATGAGGAGGGAAATGGCTGCCAGTACATTATAAAGACATTGATACATGCATTTTGTTTGTGTTGCGATGCTGCAGGAGTGACAGTGGCACATTCGACGCAACAATAAGTGGCATGGCACTGAGTTTAGGGGTGCACGTGACGAGTGACGCAACAGGGCGGCCAGCTGTCAGTGAGAACGGATGCGGCTGCTGGATCCCCAATATTGACATCACGCTTCATGGAGGAGCAAGGTCTGAAGCACGAGTGCTGCACCCCTTTGCCAATCCACTGCTGCTTGAGGGCCTCCCTATGCTGCTCGAGTTGTGGCGGTTATTTGTCCATTCTGCACCATTCTGGCCAGTCCCGGGCTGTATGAAGGTGGGGCGCATAGACGCTGCAGCGTAGGACAGTCGGCATCGCTGCATTTCCCTCGACCTTGTTAGTTTCAGTCCCATAGCCCAATTGGCAAACTGTTTGTTTCTGTCCACAGTTTGCTTGTGCTGAGCCAATGCTGCTGAAAAACTTCATTCCCAGAAGGCCGTTTGGCCAATGGAATGTGTCAAAAAAATACGTATATTTTTTATGCGGAGGGACAGACATTGGAAGAAGGAATATTGTCTGCTCATTTGTGCTTTATTGTCTTTTCTGTGTTTGCTCTGAGTTCCTGCAAAGAAGGGCCATTGTCTGCAATGCCACCTCTTCTATATTTTCCTTTTAAAGCGACGGTTGGTATTGACGAACATTTTTGGCTTTGTTATTAGCGACTGAACACCACTGCCAACGCAGCATCACCAAATCCTCTGCCCATAAATACATGGATACCATATCCCAATGCAGGACCCTCCTGAAAGAGGGTCTTGGGAATCGTTGAGGCTTTTGTGGATAGATCACACCACCATCAGCATCAGCCACAGAATCAATATGCTGTGCGGGTTGTGGGAGGTTATTTGTCAATATACTTCACTATGATAAGTGCGGGCTGGTGAAGGTGAGCAGCACACATGTGGAAATATCAGGAGCTGCAGTGAATTTGAATTGAATTGTCACCCTGGGCTCCATTGCAAATGGGACATGCCATCTCAAAGGATTTTCCCAGCTGAATTAAATGTTATTGAAAAATAATAATACATTCTAAGGAGTATCTAAAACAGGAGATGTTTTCGCAGCTGGCTGTACAACATCTTTGTTCCGCTCGTGGAAAACAGCATCAGAGATCACCTGCAAAATCAGGTTTGGGCATTTCTAGTCTACGCCTTTCACTCACACATCAGCAACAAGTGTTTTCTATTTGTGATTCTTCACGTTATCATATATGCAAACATACATAAGAGTGCATACATACCCAATTTGACCTAATATATCTTGTATTTCAGTTAACCTTTCAGTTACAGATTTAGAATGTTTAACGACTTGTAATTTAACTTTTAATCACACACCGCACTGATATAAAGAGTCGGCTATAACCCCAATTGAATGTCTGGTGTCGGGGCTGATGCCTTAGTTACAGCATTGCAGCTGGACCTGTAGTTATACTTCTGTAATGCGAGCAAGGACAGGGTCACGTGAGTGTGGGCGGAGTCAGGGTCACGTGAGGAGGAGGAGGAGTCAGGGTCACGTGAGGGGGAGGATATAAGGGGAGAACCGGAAGGGGATCGGGAGTGGAGACAGGATAGAGAAGGGAGAGGCCACGCGGAGAGCTGGCGAGGAGTGGCGCGATTGCCACGAGGCAGGAGTCACGGCACCGTCGGCCAGCGGTGTTCGTGGAGCAGCGGGGGTGTCTGCAGAGTGTGCGGGGGCACACGGAGCAGCAGGGTGGCTGCAGAGTGTGCGGAGTCACACGAGCAGCGGGGTGGCTGCAGAGAGAGAGAGCGGGAGCGGAGGACTCGGACGACGTGCGGAGGCACGAGGCGGAGAAGGTGCGGGTCGGAGCGGAGACATCGCGGGGTGCGAGCAAGAACCCAATAAAGGACACGGAGAACAACATCGGTTGAGAGTCCTTTATTACACTTACCCATGACACAAAGTAGCCGTGAATCAGTGGGGATCCTTGGGTCATGGGGATATCTAGGCTGCCCTGGCTCCCACGGACAAGACTGGAAAATGCGAGGGTGCTCGATAAAGTAGGGGTGGTATTGCTTTGATTCTGTAGGTTAGCCTGGTTGGAGGGATGAATGCAGATTGACCAGCACACAGAGATGGGAATTGCATCTGTGGTGGTCAAGGTTGACACCAAGGTTGACACAGGTCACACAGGTCACACAAGCTAGGGGAGAGGTACGTACCGATCTGGACCGGCCCGGATTGGCGGGGACGAGAGGTGGTTGGAACGGCTCTGAGGGGAGGGGGCTGGTGAGAGCCAGGGCCCGAGACACCCCCGCCCCTCAGAGAGAGGGGATATATAAGACGGCTCCCGAGAGAGCGGGGGGGGTCGATCGGAGGAGAAGCTGAAGAAGGAGAGCCGGAGATCCTGGACCCCCAAGCCTCAAGGATGCCGCCCCGCTGGAACTGAGTGGGCTGAGTAGCTGTAGGCTAGGGAAGAGAGTAGCTGAGTAGCTGTAGGCTAGGGAAGAGAGTAACAGAGTAGCTGGAGGTTAGGGAAGGAGAGAAATGAGAATAGAGCCGGAGGCTGTACCTCCCTAGGTTGTGTGTGTGGGACTGTCTCCCCAGTGAGTCCTGAGGACTAGTGTTATCGGAATAAAAGCGTGTGGCCTCTACGAAGTGTCAGTCTCATTCAAGGATATTACATTTGGTGTTAGAAGCGGCCAAAGAACCTCGCCGACATGGAGACAAGGCAGAAAACGCTCACCAGGGGCCAGGAGAAGGACGTCGAGGGAGACGCAGAGCCGGAGGCGGGAGCGCCATTTCCGGGGGACGGGTCTGCGGGGGCGGGCTCGGGTTCTCCGGGGCCCTCCAGGAGTCCGCCGACGTCGGGATGGGCGATCCAGTCAGCCCATGCCCGGCTGGCCGATCTCCTCCATGCCGCTGCCTCCATCCTCGACGAGCTCACGCTGGGGGGAGCGGGAGCGCCGGGTGGAGTACCAGGCCGAAGGATGGGACGGGTTCCCGCCGAGAAACGCGCCATTCCCGCGCAAAACTTTGACGTCACCTCCGGAGGGGGAGACGTCACTTCCGCCGGGGATGCGGCCGCCGGGGATGACGTCACTTCCGCCGGGGGGGTCACCGCTTCCGGAGGACATGACGTCAACCGCCCAGGAGGTCAGGGGGCAGAGGTGCCTCGCGTCACATCCGCCATCTGCGGCCTTACACCGGGAGAAGCAGAGTTTTCGGGTAGGTGCCCGCCGATTCCGTCTGATATTCTGCCGCCGCAAGATGCTTCACATACTGCACTTGGGACGCTGCTGTCTTCGAGGGGGGACTACATCCCGGCGCTACAACAGCGCTTGCCTTCGCTTCAGGTTTTCACGGCAAAGGGGGGGGACTGGGCTGCTTTTTCACGCCGTTTCGTGGCAAATGCCGAGACGGCTGGGTGGTCTGCTGACATCGCTCTCCGAGCCCTGCCTTCCGCCTTGGACGACGTGGCCTTGGCCACGTTCCTCCTTATTCCACGGAGGCAACGCTCCACTTTGCAGGAGGCCCTCGATCGGATGGCCTTAGTGTATGGACCTCCATCCGAAACTAGACATCGTTTCGCCAGTCGGAGGAGGGAGGCGGACGAGACACCTCTTGCCTATCAGAGTGCACTGATGGCGTTGGCTCAAGCAGCCTATCCTCGAATGGACGATGTGGGCCTGGACTCCATCGTGCTTGAGAAGTTGCTGCTGCTGGCTCGGGAACTGAGGATTGCCATCCACGTCAAAGATGAAGCTAACCTTTCCTCGCTGGGGGCGGCACATTACCTGCACACAGAGTTGCTCCTCCAGCGGGATGGGCAGGTGGCTGCGTGCGCCGCTGCAAGAGTTGACGAGGTCCCGGATGCCCAGGCCTTCGCGTCACAGCGGGCCGCCAGTTGGAGGGGGGCCGACCGGCCTCGCCAAGGGGAAACCCGGGGGAGACACGGACCCCCGCGGGCGTTGGCTGGCGTCACGTGCTACAACTGTGGCCAGCTGGGTCACCTGGCATCGGGTTGCCCTGCACCCCGGCGCCGGGCTTCGGGTCATCCACCATCGTCCGCCCGTCCGCCGGCCGCTCCACAAGACCCCCAGGCATGTCGCGACACCTCACGCACACGGTCCCTGCCCGCATCTCATACACCGCGATTCGGCGCGCCAGTAGATCGCGTTGCGTTGAGGGGTGGGGAGCGGAATGGGGCTGATGTTCGGGGGCCACTTCGCGTGGCTCAGTGGTCCGAGTTGGCCCACAGGGTAGTGGCCGCGGCGACGGGCTCGTCGGTTATTCTCGGGGATATTGAGGGAATTCAATTTCGATTGTTGGTCGATACGGGGGCTTCGGCTACTATAATCTCCGACCTCATATACAACGTGTTACCAAAAAGATGTCAGGCACTCACCCCGTTCTCCGTCCCTTGCTTTGCGGCAAATGGGGGTTCCCTGGGGATTATTGGCCAAATAACTGCCCAAATTTGTATTGGCGACATTAAATTATCTGGTCCCATTTTGGTTTCCGATGCCTTGGCCGTTCCCTGTCTGTTGGGTACGGATTTCTTGGGGAGGATGCCCATCAAAATTTTGATCGACAAAGGCTGCATCGAGCTTCCTTCGGGCCGCCGGATGGCGTTTCTGCCTTCACCAAACCGGCTGCGCACAGCTTGCACGACTGTTCCGGCTATGGCGTCTGAAACCGTGCGGATTCCGCCGGGTGCGCAGATGCTGATACCGCTTCAGTTGCGAAAACCACTGGAGGCAGACGCTACATCGGGGGTTTTGTTATCTCCTTCAAATGCGACCGAGCGAGGGTTGGACCTGGTGGGTGCACAAACGCTTGTGCCTAGAGATGGACAGCCCTTCATTCAGGTGCTGAATGCGGGATTGCGGACGAAGGTCGTGCACCGAGGGGCTGTCATTGCACATGCGTCGCTGCCGCTGCACACTGACTCCGTTGCAGCTCATGTCGGTGAGGCGCCGGCGTCCGGGACGCAGGTGGGTGTCGATGAGGCATGGATGGATTCTCTCTGTTCAGGGGCTGAAAATCTTTCAGAGTCACAAAGATTCAAGCTGCGCATGTTGCTTCGTGATTTTCCCGATGTTTTTAGCAAACACAAATTCGATGTTGGGTGCACTAATCTATTGAAACACCACATTGATACGGGGGATTCTGCTCCCATTCGGCAAAATCCGTTCCGATTAAGTCCGGCAGAGAAGGAACATGTCCGGTTGGCAGTGAATGACATGCTTGCCGCAGACATTGTGGCTCCCTCCAACAGCCCATGGGGTGCGCCCATTGTGCTTGTTAAAAAACATGATGGCAGTTTGAGGTTTTGTGTGGATTTTCGGAAGCTTAACAAGGTTTCGCTGGCGGACGCGTATCCACTCCCTCGCATGGACGAGTCGCTCGATGCCTTGGCGGGGGCACGGTATTTTTCTACCTTGGACCTTTTGTCAGGGTTTTGGCAACTGCCCTTGGATGACGCTTCCAAACCTAAGACCGCGTTCCGTACGCCACAGGGCCTTTATCAGTTCAACCGGTTGCCCATGGGATTGCACTCAGCTCCAGCGACGTTCCAGAGATTGATGGAACTGGTCCTCGCTGGCCTGCAGTGGGACTCTTGTCTTATATATCTGGACGACGTGATTATTTTCAGCCGTACGTTTGAGGAACATCTGGACAGACTGCGGGCTGTATTTCTCAGAGTGCGATCGGCTAATCTTAAATTTAAGCCTCAGAAATGTTTCCTGTTGCGTGAATCGGTGCGGTACCTCGGCCACGTTGTCAGTTCTACGGGTATAGCCACCGATCCTGCTAAAACTGACTGTGTAAGGTCGTGGCCCACGCCCACGTCGGTGGGGGAAGTCCGCAGCTTTATAGGCTTTGCGTCCTATTACCGCCGGTTTGTTGAGGGGTTTGCGACGATCGCCAAACCCCTTCATGCTCTGACGGCTAAGGGGGCTAAGTTCCATTGGGGGGATGAGGAAGACAGGGCGTTCAGGGCGCTTCGCGATGCCCTTGTCCGAGCTCCTCCCTTGTGCTATCCCGATTTCACGTTGCCCTTCATCCTGGACACCGATGCCAGCAATACCGGCATCGGCGCGGTGCTTTCGCAGGTTGTCAACGGGGTCGAACGGGTCGTTGCCTACGGCAGTAGGGTCCTGTCT